TAAAACTTAATAAATTCACTGTTAAATCTGAACTTAAACAAATGTACACTTCTTACATTTTTTCAGTTAGAATCATTGATCATAAACATGACAGAATACTGGCCATTTATGAAGCATAAATATTCAATGACATAAAATTATTGAGTCTACCATAAATATGCTCCTCACCTTTTTAATTGGTGAAAGTTGCAACTTTGTATTTCAGTCCCTAAATTTCAGTCATAACCTAAATTTAGTTGCTTAAAATACTGAGATACAGGTTTGCTTTAATAGTCTTTTTCATTCAAGACTACAATGCCACAGTTTTTACTGTAGTCCTTCATTGAAAAAAATACCACTATGTTTCTTTTCCACTATTCTATTTTCTTTCTTACTAAGGGTTCTGCAAAACTACAGCTCTGCCCAGCATTTACACAGGCACATAAGTTTGCCTACAGATATATATTCATATGCAATATATATGAAAATATGATACAACTGTTCCTAAAATAGTTGCAGTAGTAGGAGCCTCTGCATAACTTGACAGAAAAGTTCAAGTACAGAAATCAGAAGACACAGAGCAATGAATTAAACATAAGTGTTTGGTGAAAGCTACATGTAGCAATCTAGAAGGTAGACTTAGAAATACTCAGCTTGCCTCCTTTATTTTCTCTGTACCAGAGGTACATAAAATAAAGAAAGTGGATGGGATGAATGTAAAAATATCCAGGTTAAACTCACTTACATTAGAACTCATTAGAATTTGCTCACTCAAATAAGGACAGATCCACTGACTTCCTGAGTTACAGAGCATGCATAATCTATGAGTGCTTGATACTTACTGTAAGATGACCAGATCTCTGTCCAGTACAACACAATGTCTAAGATTTAAATTACCCATATGGAAAACCACTCTATAGTCTTGTACTAGGGTATTCATAGTCTCAAAGTCAACCATGTATTTCTGTGTTTTACCAAACTGGCCATTATTGTAAAACATTATATCTATGAACCCTCCTTCCAAAAAGTTACAGAAGACATTATTAACGTATGTACAATCTACATTCACAAAAACTCTGCGGCCAGTCCAGATCTTGACTGCAGTAGGAGTGCCTGGGTGAAACAAAGAGAATCTACTTCAGTGTTAGCACATGAACACAATGTGAAAGCAGAAGCAGTATCTGCTGCCCATGAAATCTGAAGTAACTTTGCCCATTGATACACTATTTCAGCCTGTGTGTTATATTTCAGTTACTTGTGTGCTTTAATAGTGAAAAAACACTTAAGAAAACAAACAAAAAAATTAAAATTGTGTACAAATGTTCAGAAAGTAAATTGTTGCAGTTAACAGTCCTGATCCCATTAACATGAATACTTTTATGTGCAGAACAAGGATAGCCTTTTTCTTGACCATTAGTGGAATGAGAAAGCAAAGTAACACTTGATTACTTATAGGTTGTTTATTTGACATACAGGTTCTCAGAATATGTACTTTAGCAAATAGAATGCATTTTGAAGGATGCTACATAATTAAAGTACAGAGAAAGATGAGCCACATGAAATAAGGCAGAAACTTCCCAGCAGATCAATCGACTTGATCACAGAGACTTTTCTTTTGAAATCAGACAACATATGATCAACATCTTAAATATGCATAAAAGAACCTACAATTACTTTTGTTTCCTGTGAAGGGTGAAGACATTCTATATTTTATTCAAAGGCCAAAATTATTGTCCCCTCTTAAATACAGCAGCTGCGCTTACCTTCCTCTCCTTACTTACTTAAGGTCCAGAAGTCAGATGACAACTCCAGAGAAGTCCAGTAGTTTTACAGCACTTAAAAGTTGAACTCAAGACACAGTTCTAAAGGTTTTGCTTTTAAATTAAAGCTGCTCACAACAAATGCCTAGCAAAGGCCCAGATCAAAGTACCAGGTAATTGTCTAAGCAGTCAAAACAGAGAACACTAATTAATTAGTAATAAATATCCTGAATTATTAAAGATAAAACTTCTTTGATCTTTGTTTCAAAGCTTGTTGGGTTTTTTTGTTTTTTGTTTTTTTTTTTTTTTTTTTTTTTTTTTTTTTTTTTTTTTATGGTTGGAGTGCAATATTTCTAAATTGAGAGGCCTTTACTAAGTATCTCCCAGTTGCTGAGAAACTGTTGCTATAGAGACTGAAAATGAGGTAGAAGCTGACACTAATGCAGAAAGCACAGTGTGCTGTAACAAAGAGTTGGGGCAGCTATACAAAGAAGAAAAATAGTAAGCCCTAGTGGTAATGTCCTAGAACTAGAATTGTTCAGACCAACCACAAAGCTCTTCAGTACACCCAAATGCTAGGGTTTATGAGGAGTCTATATATAACATTTGTAAGACACATATAACTTAAAGCCCTTTTCATAAATTTTTCAACAGTTACCATAACACCCAGGTGGAAGGAGTCATCAATACCTGCATACATAACATGACTTAGAGACCTGTGAAAAAATGTGTCCCTGAAATTGGTTATTACTTATAGAAAACCCAAACTTACTGATGACTAAGTCAATTGCTGTTTTACAGCTGTAACCAGTTTTGAATATGTTACCATATTTTAGCTTTCCTTTTTTTTTTTTTTTTTCCTTTCTTTTTCTCCTAAACAAAAGCTAGGGAAAAAAGCTTTTGTGTTCACTTATGCTTCCATGAGGAAAGACCTGAATTTCCCTGCACACCACCAGACAAATCCAGTTAGAATAATTTAGGATACACAAGACATCCCAAGCAGCTTTTTCTTTCTGCTCCCTGTCTCTGACAAGAGAGGTTTTCAGCTAGTGACTCAGAAGTCAGATAAGTCTACTTATATTTTGCAGGAAGAGTTATTTTCTCTCTCATTAACAGCTGTGCAGTACCGGTGCTTGAACTGCAGCTTGTTTGAACTGTCTCCACTGGCAGAATAAAAGAATTCAAAGAGTCCTCTCATTAACAGCTGTGCAGTACTGGTGCTTGTTTGAACTGTCTCCACTGGCAGAATAAAAGAATTCAAAGAGTAAGATTGCTAAAGCCTATTCATATGGAAAAAACCCAAATGTAAATACACATTAGAAAACCTAACTTTTCTGTCTTGGAAAAGGAATTATAGAAAAACAGGTAGTTTGTAGAGACTACTGGTAGCATCCCTCCCTGCTATTTTCTCCTGAGACATCTGCCTCCAGATGCTCCTCAGAAACTCAGCCAATCTTCTGTGCATACTGGAAACTAATTCCCTGGAGACTACTTCTCATGAAATGAATGGTTCCTAACCCTTCTCTTCAAGACTTTTTGCAACACCTACCTCCACAATTTCCATGTGAACTCTTCCATGAAGATACTTACAATAATATCTCAGTTCCTTTAAATGTTGCTTATCCCATATACACTTTGCATAGAGCCCCAGATTCTTCCAGATCCCTTGTGATGCCCCGCCTTTCTGAGCTCCTCATTCTAAGACCAGGGAGACATCCCTCCCAGTCCTGTCCTAATCAGCCAGTAACTTCTCTTAGTTTCCTCATATAGGAAGTCTATCCCTATTCAGAGCTTTAACCTCCATTCGAACAGAAATAATGAATTTATTGCAACTATATGTAACTGATTCAAAGAACAGGAAGCTTTCTACTTTGTATAAAACATATCTGATAAAAAATTAGCAAGTACAGGAACATTTCATTAACACAATCTCCATCATTGAAGACACCAAAGATGCAAGTAAAAGTGGTTCCTCCACATTCTGTTTAAACAAAAATTTAATTATGTTTGACTTAAAACACATGAGTATTCTCTTGAAATTCATTAAATAAATAAGAAAAACATGAAAACAAAGATGAACTTGCCACTAAGGAAATGTATAAACATGTTTTTCTTTTAAAAATCAATTTTGCCTAAGTAGATACTTTATTACTGTGTTTTTCAGAGGTACTGTGTTTCAGTACCTCTGAAAAAAATATTTGGAATTACAAAACTTCTACTCTGTATGTGACAGAAAGTTCTGCTCAATATTTCCATATGAATATTTTAGGCATTAAACTGTTTTTGCAATAGTTTCTTCGTCTGAAGAAGTAAGTGGTTGGATGCAAATGAAATCGCCAATTCAATAAAATCAGAAGGAATTTTACTTCAGCCTACAGGTTAAAAATGTTGCATTCACTGGTTTTGAAATATTTTTTCACCTAGAGATTTCTCATGTTCTTTTTAAATCAGGAAAATACTGCAAAAGCTACAGTAGCTCTTTCTAGTTAGCTCTTTTGGGCAATGGAAACCTTATTTAATATGGGAATTTCCAGCATTTTCTCCTCCAGACAACTCTAGCTAAAGTGATCCAGTAGGCAAGGTTTCCATTTCTGTGATAAAAAAAAAGCAAAACATGAGCTATTTTTGCTAGCCTCCTAAAATACTTCCACATGCAAGGAGATAAAGCAGGGCACTTTGGGAATACTTGAACACCTAATACTGATGTCACAAGAGAAGGCCACAACTGAGCACATCGCTGCTAGCAGTGGGAAGGCCTCGCTTAGCATTTAACACTGACACGAGAGGAACGGGACAGCTCTACAGAACAGCAGTGCCATACAAGTAGAGAGCAGACAGGGAAGGACACTCTTATCTAATTGGGAATTCCCTGTCTGGGTTGAACAAGGTCATGGTTAGCCAAATAATTAAATTCTGCATTCATCAAGAATATCTTACTGTGTCTTTAGTCCTTTCCCAAAAAACAAGCATGGATAACAAAAGGCTTTGTGCTCAGTAGAAGGTCTGGGTATCTAACTCAAAATATCCCCATTCTTCAGCCCATCCTTAATGGCAAAGAACAGCTCATAGTAAAGAACAGGCTGATATAAAAGTACTGGAAAGAATCTGAAGGAAGGGAGAAAGAAAACAAATTAGGGAAAAGGTCTGTAGGAATGAAAACTATAAAGAAATGGTGAGAACACTGGAAAAGTGCAAGAATTTCATTACTTGAAAATCGAGAAGAAGTGAAAAAACAAAACTAACATATGCTTTAGAGTTCATCTGTTCTTATTTTGGTGAATGAGGACAGAGAACTTGAAAAAATAATGGGAAAAGCAGCAAAGAAACACTTGGGAGAAGATGTGGAGATTTTATTCTGCTTCATATGGATGCATTTCGTTTATTTCCTTTAGTGCAACGAGCTTTTCCTAAATGGAAGAAAAAGCATATTTTAATACCACCCATTCTTTTTATCTACTCTAATTTTTAGCACAAACTTAAATATGTTAAACAAAATAATTCTTACACATTACTAGTATGACTGAAGATCACAGAACCTGATTAAAGCTGGAATGTAGAGTTTGGGACCAGTCTTTTAAAATATTTCAATAGTACAAATAAATCCTTTTTGTCTCATTAGTGACAAGAAGTTCATTATGAAAATAGTGCTCAATTATTTTTTATTTTCTGAAAAAATCCCTAATTCTAGTAAGGTCTGGCCTTCATTCATGCAAAGTCACAGCCATAAAAATGCAAAAGATATGTTTTCTAGCATAGAAATACTCTGAATACTGCATAAGCAAAATCAACATAGAATGTAGAAACATTAAATGAAAGACAATATTTCTGTTTTGCACAAAGCCTGCAGAACTTTGGAGTGCAAATTCTACATGTGTATAGGTAAACTTATTTTATCATCTCCTTTTGGGCAGAACAGTTGTCTGTTCATTTCAATACACAAATACTACCTTACACTTAGAAGTACCCGGTCTTTACCATGCATGAGTGCATGTGTGCAGTTTGTACATCTAACACTGAAAGGTCTGTGCTCAAAGTTGTATCACGACGTGCCCATAGGTGGCAGAACGGGCATACACGAGACTCAAGTAACCCTTACCTGAACCAGCTCGTGGGATAAGCGTCCTAGAGCTTTTTGGGTCGTTTCATTAATTTCTAATTCTGTCATGACTTCCCAGTTACCATTCTGGAGCCTCACTGGCATAGAGAAGATAATTCCTTCAGGAATGCAAAACTGACCTGAAGAAGAGGGGGAAAAAAGGACAAAACCACGTTATTTCTGATTACATCCTCACCAGTGTCAACATTAAGTCCTACAGACTTGCAAAAGTCTACAACTGTAAGATCTCATTATAAATGGACACTGCCTTTTTCAATGTACAGTTCCAAAAAGAATGTCCCTTTGACTGTAACTTTGTACTTTAGTTAGATGTGCATGAATCATAGCATCAGATGGGTTTGGGCTGCAAGGGACCTTTAAAGCTCTAGTTCAACCATCCTGCCATGGGCAGGGAATATCTTCAAATCTATCTGAGCCACATCCAACTTGACCTTGAATGTTTCCAGGACTGAGGTGTCTCCCACCCCTCTGGGCAGCCTGTTCCAGTGTCTTACCACATACATTGTAAAAAACTTAATTATATCTGATCTAAATTGACCTTCTTTCACTTTGAATCCACTCCCCCCTGTCCTATTGCAACAGGTCCTGCTAAAACATTTGTCCCCATCTTCCTTATAAGAACTTTTAAGCACTGGAAGGTGCTACAAGGTCTCTCCAGAGCCTTTTCTTCTCCAGGATGAACAACCTCAACTCTTCCTGCCTATTTTCATAAGAGAGGCGTTCATCCCTGTGATCATTTCGTGTGGCCCTCCTCTGGACCATCTCCAGCAGGTGTCTTTCCTGTGTTGTAATAACACAATTGTGTATTGACTGTACATCTTAAAAAAAGGGGAAAATTATTGATTTCATAAAGGTTAAATGGCTGCTGTGAAATATTCCACCTATTGGTTTACATGATCACACAAGAAGAACACATTTCATAGCCTGGGCTCTAAGAACTATAAAGAGTTGTTGCACAAAACACGTACATCAGAAAAGCATTTAAACTAAAAGACTAAGAGATCAGATGAAAAAAGACAATATTCACCTAAGAGATGCCTGTAAAAAGTGAGCATTATCACAAGCTCTGTTAGATTTGGAAGTTCTTATGATGAAACAAACTCAGCCTCACATGATTTGTTTTACAAGATTTTATTAAACGAAAAATATTGATTAAAAATAACATTATAGATGGGGAAAGCTATTATATGCAGGGCAAAGCTATAAGAGAACATGTGAAGCAAAACTAACTTTACCTTCACTAAGTATTCCCACAGAAATGATCTCCCCAGAAGGAGAGCCATGGTACCAGTACCGCAGTACCGTGGCTATTGCATGAGCAGGTAACATTCCTATGCAACGGGACACCCGGGAACTCAGCGTACTCCGTGCACACAGGACTTCTGAATGGAGCCATTCGCTACCAACAAAATATGCAGAAAAAAGGCATTAAAAACTAAGATGACTGCAGGAAGAGTAGTTTCCTAGAGAAAAAGAGAACTAAACCTGAGGAAAGAAAATAGTCAAAACTTACTCAAACATCACTGTTGAAAGCAAGGCATTTTTACAGACAGAGAAAAAAAAAGGTCTAAAAAAAGTAGCTTAAAAAGTAACAAGTCCTATGAAAGTTAGATCATTTACTCAAGTCACAACCTATATTATTATTGCAATTTACATTTTATATGTAATTTCATATGTAATTTATATATTACTGTCTTCAGTAAGAACCCAGCCATGAACCAGTCTGCCTGTGTGAGGCTCAGTACAAGCCTAGAACATAGAAATGTCTGCTCTCCAGTAAATGCTAAGTCTAGACCAGGGTGGGAGCTCCAGATAGGCAGGCCTGGGTGTATGCAACATCTGCTGCCCTCTCACTGCACCCACCCTTTCTCTGCTACTATTCTTTCCACAGGAAGCTACCTAGCTGCTAGGTATCCTTTTCACATATATTACCAAATCATCTGCTTTGGGAAACTGACAACATTAGCATGCTCAGGCCTATTCCTTGTAATTCCGGTTCAGAAATCTGTTTAATAATATTTCAAAGTTCCTTCACTAGACATCTAAATCACTACCTGGACTTCCATCACTTCTTATAAACTGCTCATGATATAAGAGAAACCCATTTAAAATGTAGGAAAAATATAGTTATAAACAGAGTTGGCAGGAGAGTGCAACAGCACAGCACTAGGATCTACCCAACTTCTTTTGCAGATGTAGTACCTCAACTTGTGTTTTCCTTTATGTACAGTGCCAATCAGTAAAGACAAATCTTGAAAACAAAAACATTTCTTGATGTTTTATTAGACAATCCAGATAAGCATGGATTAAAATGATTTTTAATTTTATAAACTATAACTATATAAACTATTTTATTAACTTCTATAAAGTGATTTAATTTTACTTGAAAGAAATAAATCTGTACTGTACCTATCATAAATCATATTCAACAAAGGACGTTGAAAATTAGGAGGGCCCCAAATAGCACAGTCATATCCATAAAGTTTTGCATGTGACAAATCAATGCAGTTAGACCCAGTAATATTGCCCCAAACAATCACATCTTTAACTCCTGTAACAAAGGAAAGTGAAAAGACAAATACTTTTAGAAAAATGGGCTTCATAAATCCTTTTCAAAATTAATTATTTAAATCTGTACCCTGCCTTGCTAGCAGAAATTATTTGACCTGAAAAATGCAATCAATTTCTCCCTAACATGTGAAACCTCATCAGAAGCTGAAAAGGAAGCCTTAATTTATATCATGTTACCGTAAATAATAGACAAAATCTAGTAAATATTCAACTCTTAAAACAGTAACAAATCATATTGCAAACATATAGCTATGTTCCTTTTAAAATCCTCTAAAAACAAATATATAAACAGTAAAAACAATCATTAAAAAAACCTATCTGCTTTGGTGCAAAAGGATTTTCTCAAATAACCTGCTGATAGACTATTCTTTCTATTAACTCGCTTTTCTATTTTATTAGGCTCCAAAATATCTAGACTTGTCATCAATGACCAGTTCTAGCTATGCAACACTTACAGAATCCCCATGCTGAGCAGATTGACAGAGCGCCCCTTTGCTATGCAGTGCAGAACTGTACAAATATAACGAAGCTATAACAAATGACCTGAAAGTGAATGTTAATTAACCTCAAAATAATACTACAACACAGTTCTACTTTACTCTCATTATCTGCACAGCAGTATGTTGTCTTGTTTATTCACAGCTCCAAAACAACAATGCACTACAGAGTGCAAATGCAATCTTGAAGTCCTAGTTCCCAATGTGCAAAACAATTGTCTTCCTTAGCATATTTCCAGTATGAAATACACCAGAGTGGCAGGGCTGCATCTCAGAGCAAGCAAAGACTCTGGCATTCTGTACAGCCAAGAAATTTAGTGGGTGCACCACTGTGCATTTCTGCATGCACATCAACTGTGTTCTAGAATTAAATACACACTCTCGAAGGTGTGCTGAAATCCCCAAATGCTACATAAACATTCACCTTCTGTGTTCATATTCAGCTTCCTGGCCAGCATGGCTTTAGCTGCACTTTCCCAGGATGTTGAAATGGCAATGATATTTTCAGGCCTAATGGATGGGCCATATGTCCTTAACATTGTTGCCTTAAGGTTTGCAAAGGTTTTTCCTGATGAAATGACTTTGACCTCACTCTTGGCATTCTTCTCAATCAAGGGAGCATACACCTGGCAGATCTCACTCACTTCTCTGATGTAGCTCTCAATGGATTTGACTTCAAGGTTTAAGAGGACATCATCAAGAACAATGATAATATCAGCATCAGTAAAAGCCTCATCTATTTTTGTGTGCTCTGAAATACTGCGGAGAAGTGGGAATGCCATGTCTTCAGCTTCCATTACAATACTGCGAAGAATTTCCTTAAACTTCTCATTGTCAAGCAAATGGATACTGATTTCTGTGGTCATCCCAAACACTTCTCCATTTGCCAACAGTGGGATCAGATGATAACAGATTGGAACTGATGCACTGGTAAGAAAGGATGTAGAAAAGTTACATTTAACAATGAACCACTGCTTGTTTGGAAGTATTACATAAACTAAAAGGTATTTATTTTGTACTTGATTGCATTTAAAGAAACCATTAGCTTGTATCCTTTACTGCTCTTTTGTCATTTTAACAGTTTAAGAATTAAAATAGTTGGGTCCTCCTTTCATTTCCAAAGCCTTTCATTTGAAGGCTCCTCCATCCTGTGCATTTCAGTCAATGCCACCACTTAAAATTTATGTCTTTATAGAACCGCAATTTTTTAAGGTGTTCTATTAGGACTACTAGAAACACAGGAATTTCTATAAGAAAAGACCTACTCTTTACCTACTCTAATATTTCCAACAACATTTAATGCAAGATAGTTGCACTATAAAATTTCTAGCTTATTTTGTAAATACTTGCTTTTCCCTAAACTGATCTGAGGTCTAAATGATGCCTGTTCATACCCTTCATTTGAACTGCTGTAAAATGTAACAAAACGATAAATTATTTCTAAGTTATATGCTAATTACTAAGTTAAATACTAATAGTGAGGGTGCAGAACCAAGTCAAATAATGAAATTACACAGATTTGTGATTAACTTCAGACGGTTACACCTGTTATGTGTGATAGGAAAAAGTGCATTCTTCTGAACAGAGTAAAAGTTCACAGATACTCTCTTCACTCTCACCTGGTAATCCAGATCTGCATAGGATGGATAAGACTTTTAATCTCTTCATCCTCTTTTACAATTTCAAGATGTGCCTGCAGGTTCTCCTCAGCAATGTCCAACATTTCCTCACTCAGCATCATTGAAGTGATGCCGTAATATTGCTAAGAACAAAAAGGATAATCTCTAAGCAAATGGCAGTCCAAACCCACCAAGGTAACATTTACAATTGCTTTGCTTTACATTTGAAGGAGGAAAAAGGAACAACTATGTCATAAAACATGGGCTTACAGTATTAAAGGCAGCTTATTACCTGAGCATATTCCAGAAAATCATTAAGTCCTCCCAGAAGCTGACCCTTCCCTCCACGGTCCAACAGTTCTCTCCAAATGATAGGAGACTGGCTGTGTTGCCATCCATTTGTTTCACAAATGTCATGAAGCCACTGCTGATGACATCCCCCCCAGATGTTTTAATATATTATATTTGATAACATTTAAACATTACAACTACAAGCATTCTTACTATTTCTTCTCAATACATAATTACAAAGTGCTTCAGAATTCAATTACCAGCGGGTACAAAATGCGGAAATAACAAAAACCAAGGTATGGTGATACACTGGGATAGCTCACCTCAAGGTCTTGATTTCACTTAGTTGTCTTAGTGGTACAGAAGACAGCAATGTTGTGAAGCAGCGAGTAATCTGAGGATTCTTACTCAGCCACAGAAGGTAAGTAAGGTGAAGAGGTTAATTGCTTTTCATTTAACTGTTCAAGTTATTTGGTGGAGGTGTAAAGCAAAATACACAAGGTAATAAATACTACAGTACTATCTCATGGAGTAAGACTGCAGTTTTTTTCAGAGCCTTATAGGCAGCATGTCTACAGCATAAGGCATATCCACACTGTAAACAAATATGTGATATTTAACTTCATACTTCCACTGTAATTCAAAGCCCTTGAATGCCACAAAGGCTCTTGACAAGTAAGAACTCTGAAGTTAGAGGTAACCACAGTGAGCAAAATATTTACAGGCTGAACAGCCATTTATACTTTAAAAAATACCTCAGAAAACCAAGCAAAGAAGCAAAAACAACTTGAAGTTTTTATTGACATAATACAGCTTGAGGCTGGTCCACACTTTGTGCTCATCTTCTGCGGTAAAACTCAGAGATGTCAGTTGCTCAAAACATTGTAACCTTTCCTCCGGCTGGCTCTCACAGCCAGAGCTGCTTCTGCAGCAGCTCTATCTACACAGCAAACCACTAATAGAAAAGAAGAAGAAACATACTGCAGATAAGCACATTTCTTCGTTTGTAGAGCACTGGAGCACCTACCAGCGACTTGACTTACAATCTCTTACCTCCCACTTGTCAGGGTGCTGAGTGATCTTGTGAACCCTGAAGTTGGGCAAGTTAGTCTGGAGATAGTCAGCCAGGAGTTCAGCTTTGGCATAGTAAGGGCAGTTTGCCTTACCTGTGAACATAGCAACAGCAGCACAACTGGATGATTTTGTCATTCACTGATAAGGGCTTAAAAGACCAAACATTGTTTAATGTGAGCCAGCTAAGGAACAGTAATTCTGCAGGTGAAAAAGACTCCCGAGCCAGCGCCCAAGGGGCCGAGGAGGCCACTCCTGAGGGACAGCAGCAGAGATGCTGACGCCTTACTGACGGGATGTGGGGGAACGCTGACCCCGGACCGCCTGAGGCTGCGCGCCGCGCGGACACGGCTCCCGGAGAGCCGCAAAGACGGGCACGGGGGCGAGCCCGCAGACAGGGGCCACTGCTGCAAGCACGGCGAGCTGCCCCGGTACAAGGTGCCGGTGCCGGTGCCGGTGCCGCCCCGCCCGGCTCCCGGGTCCCCCCTCACCCGCCACCACGAACTTGGCCATGCGCGCGCCGCCCTCCAACGGCCGCTTTGGCGTTGCTCAGCAACGCGCCGCGCGCCGCGGCAGTTTGTCCCTCGGCCCGCGCCGTCCGTCTCGCGCGGCCCGCCGGGAGGTCGCGGCGCGCCGGGCCCGGTGTCACGGCGGGGCGCGTGCGACGTAACAGCGGCCGCGGGAGCCCCGGCCCGGCCCGGCCCGGCCCGGCCGGCGCCATCCCTGCCGTTCCTCCCGCGTGCTCCGAGCCCTGCGGAGCCGCCGAAAGATCTCTGTCCCCGTGTACTGTCCCGCCCTGCTGGGCAGAGCTCCCAGGGCCAGCGGGAAGTGATCCCGAAGCCCAGCGGCTTCTCCCCGGCACCGGGAGAGCGAGCGCCCGCGGGTGTGCCGGGAGGGCGGCTATCCCGTGGGATGGCAGGCAGGCTGGGACAGGCTGGCGGGTAGGATCCCGTTACCCGCTGCTGAAGGGACCCTCCAGAGTCCTGTCGGGAGACGCGTGTGCCTGGGGAAACGTCCCTTAGGAAAAGACTCTGCTTCCCGGCAGAGCAGCAAGGAGGAAGCAAGGGCTGTCCTTGTGCTGAGATGTTTGCCTGAAATGTAGGAGACCAAATAAAAGCCTCTCTGCCAACCATTTTCCGGGAATCTTTTACCAGATCTTCTCCCTTCCTGTAAAAGTGTGCAGATTTGGCAGTTGTATCTGGGGGAATTGAAAGTCTGGTGACTAATCCATAATTTTCAATTGTTTTTACAGATGAGCGATCTTGGCAGTTTCTCCAGAACTGTTTCCACTGGTAGAATGTCATCGGATCCCTTACTTTGAATTGACGTTTCAAATCTATTCATGAGGCGTTAGCAGAAATGAATAATAAAATAAGTTATTTGTTAAATACTGTCAGATGTGTGCATAGGTACAGTTCTGTGCTTGCTCCCAAATCTTCAGCCATAACAAGAAAACACGTTTCATGGATTGGCAGATACAGGGATCCCTTAGGAAATGTGAACTTCAGGAAATTACTTTTAAATATTTTGCCTTCTTTGCATGGATCGTCTCTTCGATTTGCATCTCAAAAGACAGATGTTTATAGCACAGGTGCAGAGGCTTTGGTGAGTGAGAAGGCTTCCCAGAGCTCCTTGGAAGTTGAAAAGTTGGATGATTCTGGGAGCTCCAAAGCGAAGCACGTGGTGGATCACAGCGACCCGTTCTTCAGCAGCCTCGGGAAATGCTCCTGTCCTTGCGATGCGCTGGACCTGGCTGCGGAGGCGGCTGTTTCCATTAAGCACTACACAAACTGCTTGACCACGGCCTGGAGGCTCTTCAAGAGGCTGTCGGAGGAGCAGCAGCGCTACGAGAAGCAGCTGATCTTTGAGCACCCGGCTTTCGTGAAGCTGTGCCAGCAGCTGCTGCGCGAGGCGCGCAGGATGACGCGCGGGGACCTGGTGTTCAGCCTGCACGCCCTGGTGAGCCTCGGCGTGCCGCAGAACACGCTCCTGGTCCAGACCTTGCTCAGAGTGTGCCAAGTAAGTGAAAATCCTTCTCCTAAATTTGGGCTGAATGACCACTGGGTAATTCTGGGAAGCTGTGCAGCATCAGAGAGAGTTGGATTGCATCCTTGGTTTAGTCTGATGTTCCATGGAAACAGTTCCTATAATTCATTTGTGTGTTCTTCTAATTTCCTTAACTTTTGAAACCACTGCCTGATTTCAGATTTAAAAGAGAGGAGAAATCTCAAAAATCATTACCTCTTCCAAGTCAACTAAGTTTGACTGATGTGAGACCTTGTGGGTTCTGCAGAAATAAAGCTTGTAAATTGACTTTTCAGGGGGAAAAAGAAAACGGCAGTTACAGATTAAAAGTGGTCAGTTTTTCTTTTCTGAAACTTTTACTGATTTGAAGTAATCTGACATTGTCAAAACTTTTAACAGGAGAAGCTCAATCAACTTGATAACCGATGTATCTCAGTTTTGGCAACTACTTTAGCAGGGATGGATAAAGACAAGAATGTGAGCGCTCTTCAAGCTGGATTACAGTGAGAAAAATATCTTTCACGTGTCCTTGATATTTAAATGTTGTTTAAATTCTTGTCTGTTAGAAATCATCAAGGGTATGTCTGCACATGAAATACATTCTGTGGTTTTAGGATTTAAATGATCACATGAGAAAAGAGCTGTGTTAGACAGCGAATTTTGGCTTTACAGTTTCAAGGAGGAGGCCTTCCAGTGGTAAAGGGTACTAGACTAGTCTGCAGGGGATTGTGTTCTGACTGCAGCTGCTCCAGTGTAGTTTTTTTTTGTGATGTTGATCAAGTCCCTTCACATATCTATCCCTTTTTCATCTGTATACAGACAGGAGGTAATGAGACTATCTTAGGGACCTGTCTGATTTTTCATGATGAAAAGCATTGTTTAACAGCCTGGGAATATTTTCTTGCAGTTTCAGTGAGTGAAAATTCAGAAGAAGACTAGTTGTGTCCAGCAAGCCCTCTGTGTAGTGAATTATCAGAATTACTTCTTTGGCTTTTTTTCTGGGCCCGTGCAATTTATGTGTGTAACCAGTCTGCTCACTCTGATGAGACTGATTTTACTGAGGCTGTCACAAAACTTGCCATGGGTTAGTACTTTTGACCCTGTATCACGTTCTGCTTTGAGAAAGTTGATGTGATACCCAAAAAACAGGTTCTCCTGGAAGGGCAGGTACACAGCTCTTAAAAGTTGGTGGAAAGCAGGAGTCCCATCAGCACTTTTCTGTCCTGATGTCTGGAGCTCTGGCCCATTTGCAGGGATGAGTTTCAGACCGTGGACTGCCTTAAAAAGTGACACTTAATATTTTTGTAGGTATGTTTACCTGTGCAGATATATTTAAGGGTGGTTCAGACCTAACAATTACAATGCCAGCAACTGAGCCAGAAGAGGAGGTGCTAGGAGTGCACCTTCATGTTGTGCGGACGATCTCCCTGTTATCTCCTGTTCAGCCCACAGCACTCTTTGGTTTTATTCCTCACTTGCATCCAGTTGTTGTCTGTTTCCATTCCTGACATCCAGTTTCCTGTCTGTTTCAGAACTTGCCTGCACATCAATGATTTAAAGATAAAAATATGCAATTTTCTTTTTCTGCAGAAGGATGTTAATTGCTTGAGGCTTAACAGCACTCATATTTGCATTGTCACTTGTGCAGGCTGGTCAGGTGCCCTGCTGTTAAATGTATCAGCAACAACAATTCATCTATCAGGATTAACACTAAGAAGGCATTTATAATTGTTTCCATGTGTAAAATATCTGTGCTGCAGCTATGTCATGTAGACTTATGTCAGCATTTCAAAAAAAGGAAGATGGGAGAGGAGCAAGGAATTACAGCTTTCACTTGGGGGCTACATCAGTGAAGAAGAATGGGGGTACTTACCTGTTTCTGCTGAAATGAGGAGAGCTCTTGTGTGTGTTTCTCCATCAGGTTACTAGTGGAGCAGCGCATTTCAAGTATCAGAGACATCTTTATTCTGCAAAACCTGATGAAATGCCTGGGAAAAGATGCTCCAGTTTTTCTGAAAAAGAAATTAGAGGTAAAGTTAGTTGGAGGCTCATTTTTACTCCCACAAAGCCTGTGCTCTTGCTTTGTTTATAAATTGTGTATGGTTCTTTGCAGACACTGAAAGAGAAAATGTAATAGAAAGGTAACTGTATTTGCTGTATGCAACAGAGTCCAGCTATATCTGCAGGAAGAACTTATATTTGGAGGCTGGTAACAAAACAAATTGAGGCTGTAAAACAGCAATGCCCTCACCTCTTTGGGTTGGCCACATGGTGTTTCATAGAAGTGCTTATAGGCTGTTCCCTTGTTCCCTTGCCCAGCCTGTGGCTGACCATGAGGTGACAGAAAACTGGTCTGTGATGGGGCTGTGACCAGTAACTGTAGCAGGCAGGAGGACTGGTGGGAGTGAGATGGCAGAGCTCCCCAAGCTCATGGTCTTGCTTTTCTGTGTATGTGATAGGCTCCCTGGGAAATACAATGGCTGGGAGCAGGCTGCAGGTTTTATGGCAGGGTGTACTGGGTTTTGTCCCCTGGTAGGACTGTAGGACTCTGACATCAGAGGTTTTAATAGCATTCATGAAACACCATAAAACTGAGAGGAAAATAGTATTTGCACTTGTTAACTAAAGGGAGCACTTAATTTTCTGAGCCCTAAGGGTGCTATTTTTTTACAGGGGAATTTCTTACAGATGCATTTTGTATTTAACCTCTGATATGTGTACAGTAAAAATATTGTATTTTAACATTCAATATAATTTGTAGTTTCATTTTTACTGTGATTTATATCAAGGTAATGATGGCTTTGATAAACGAAATTTCCTTTCTGGCATCAGAGCTGACTCTGCCTCAGTCCACATTCATAGCTGGGTGTTTGTATAAAATACAGGCCACTCACACACTGTTGAATCACTTTGGAGGCTTACAGTTTTCATGCACATGCAAAACCATAATTGGACTACTATGAACTTTTAAGTTAATTGTATCTGTTTTATTTCTGCTTCTTTCTTAAGAAGATGTGTATTCACCATATTGGAAATGACCTTTACTGAGGCTTTTTTCTTTTAAAATAACCATATAAATGCAAATTCCTGGAAACTTGTGTAATGACACATTT